ATGAAATATGCAGAGAGCTGGAGTCAGACAATCAGTGTTTCTTAAGCTGAAGGAGTTGGAAAACAAATTCAAGCCACGGGTGGCAATACTTAAAGAGAGTTTGGGTAGAATGTTGAATGATCCAGGAAGTATCAAAAGAAGATGGAAGGAGTACACAGAGTCACTGTATCAGAAGAAATTGGCTGACACAGAGGAATTTCAAGAAATAACATATGAGCAAGAGCCTATGGTGATGAAGGAGGAAGTTCAAGTTGCTAGGAAGGAATTGACAAAAAACAAGACTCCAGGAGGTGACAGCATACCAATTGATTTATTTCAACAGACAGATGCTGCCCTGATTGTGCTCACTAATTTGTGCCAGGAAATCTGGAGGACAGCCAGCTGGCCAACTGACTGGAAGAGATCAAATAAAAACATATAATGATTTATAATACAATGAAATAAAATCTATAAGAGGCATGCATCAGATTTCTTTGGAGTATGGACAGAGAGGTTTGGGAAATTAGCCTGGAGCAGATGCCACCTGAATTGCTGCTCAGATAAGTAAAGGACAAACACGAAAGCTGTTCCAGGCATGGAACACACAAGCCATGGAAATACTAGAGAGCACTGCAGGAAGCCAAACTGTGAGAAATTCAAAGAGGACAGTCTTAGGTTACAGATGAAACGTCCAGGAGCCAGACCAACGCTGTTGGATGCTGCTGTACTCAGGAGTTTCAGTTTTCATACTGTAAGTTACTATGACCCACCGGGTGACTTTTAGTTAGTGGTAAGATCAGGTTTATTAGTCAAAAAGAACACTGTGGAAGCAGTTCAGTGAGTGGAATGGAAGATGGTTACCCTTTACCCTGGAGATAGTGAGACCCATTAGGAAGCTATGCCAATAATCCAGAAGTCAGGAAATAAATACTGCGGTTTAAGGAATGAGATTAAAAGGTAATTGGAAAGTAGAACTGATTGTTACAAGAGAGTCTTTGGAGATCAATGCTGAACTAGAGGAAGAATCAAGGATGTTGGCCAAGTTTCTGGCTTGTACATTCAGGTGGAAATCAAATCACTGATCAAGGAGCAGAGTAAAGAAAGAAGAGCAGGTTTGGGGTAGCAGAATATAAGCACATATCAGATGTGTTAAGTTTGAAATGTCTCTGAGACTTTTAGGAGATTTTTTATATGTTCAATATAATATACCCAAAAACCATGAGAGAGGTTTTGATCAAAAATATAGAATTAGAAGTCATCATCAAATAGTTTATTGTTGAAATTTTGGCAATCTCCAAGACTACTAGATCTGAGTAACACTGCTTCTATCCAACTCACATGCACCATCTGTGAAATAAGTCTTAGTGCAAGCTTTGTCCCAAAGTACAAATTAGCATAGTTTTTCAGGAAACAATGTCTGAGCAGTGCTCTGGACTTTTGGAAAGAAAGATATTCGGTCACCATAATACCCAGAATTAATGAATACTCACTGAAATAATAGCTCTATTCTCTATTTGCTTTTGACCTTCCATTCATTCTTTGGTAACAAGGTAATAATTTACAAAAATGGCTGAAAAGACCTCTGGTAAACAGAGCTGTCAAAAACATTTCTAACATTTGTTCTAAACTATATATGTGATTGTCTTTTGAAACTGCAAGTTCACATGCTTGACCTGGATTCCTTTCTAATTGCAAAGTCAATGTTGGTTTTGATTATAGGCTATCATTTCTTTAGAAAAATTTCCTGTGAGAATTAGTTTCCTCTTCCTATGTTTTTGTTTGTTTGCTTATCCTGTGAAATAAAATTAAGATAATCTTATGATATTTGCTATATAAAGCAACAGTTTACCTGTATTTTAATTAGAAGGCAGATTTTCAGTAAAAATATTTTTTGTCTGTTGTGAAAAAGCTTCAGCAGTGTATACATAAAAACAAACAGATTGGATAGAAAGTGTCATAATGATAGAGCAAAGTATAGTAATTAATAATTCTTAGCAAAAACAGTTTAAATCAATATTTTGCCTCCAAATAGTGACAGTCAGGAAACAATAAATCCAATTCTTTTTTCCCTTCTCTACTTCAAACTTTTATTCAGGATCACAACGGAAAGATGAAGAGACTTTATTTTCCCCAAAATATATTTGACTCTCTGCAAGAATATCTGATCCAGGCCATTACTTTGCAGTTACTTACTATGTAACAGAAAGTTGGACAATAGCTGGACTAAGGATGATAGAAGAAGAAATGATGCCTTTGAGTTGTGGTGCTGAAGAAGAGTATTTAAGATACCATGACTGCCGACTTCTGGCGTAGCCATGGCGGCTAACGCTACCACCAACCCATCATAACTACTACCGCTAGAACTTGTGGACAAATGTATAGGATCAAGGATTCATATTGTGATGAAGAGTGATAAGGAAATCATTGGCACACTTCTAGGTTTTGATGACTTTGTCAATATGGTCTTGGAAAATGTCACTGAGTTTGAAATCACACCAGAAGGAAGAATTATTACTAAATTAGATCAGATTCTGCTCAATGGAAATAACATAATAATATTGGTTCCTGAAGGAGAAGGACCTGAAGTATGAGTGGATTTTCTTGACTGATTGCTAGCTCCTGTTTTGTTTTGTTTTTATAAAGGCAACAAAATGGATTTAAAAGAAAACAAAAAACCAAACAAAACACTTTTTAATCTTGAAATTCTGTAATGCTAAGTTTCCTGTTAGAGGGAAATGTTTTGAGATAAATTGTAAATGCCAATTTTTATAAGTTAATCATGATTATTTTGGGAGAAAAGTAAACAGTTTGCTGTTTGAAGACCAAAATACAAATGTTTGTGGTTAACTGTAAATTTATTATACTGTAATGGCCAGTAGAACAGTTTGTGGTTATTTTGTCATTTGTTTTCCTCACATTTTATGCCCACTTGCTTTGTCATTTATGTGACCATTGATTCTCAAACTAGAATTGCTCCAAACAAAATGAACTTTGATTTTGAGCAAGTGTATTTAAAATACTTGGAAGTGATTAGTAGCAAAATTAAGTTCAGAACAAGACACTGAAGGATTTTTCTACTGAACCCAAATTCTGTTAACCTTTATTAAAAGCAAACAAAATGTACAACTCATATATACATGTACAAAGAGCAGTGAAGTAAAATGAAAAAAATTGATCACGTTTTGCTGTACATCTTCTTAGACTTTCTCACTATAATGTTTTTTATTGACATAGGGGCTTTAATAATGAGCAAGATGAAGATTATGAGGATGGTATAGGATAGATCAAGTTTTGGATCTGTTGTTCAGAGTCGTTAGAAGTTGAAGACACTTAAGAACAGAGCAATAAGGCCCCATCTCTGGATCCCATGACATGTCTGTCAACATATTCTTTCTAACACCAAGAGCCTTCCTGACAGAGCAAGTTTTATAGAAATACAGTTCCTAACAATGGATTTTGCTCTTTAATTATTTTCCAATTATTGACCTAACCCATTTAGTTCTGTGATTTTTAGAAATCCTGAGGCAGGAAAATTTCTCACTCATCCATAGCTTAAATGACCTGTCAGGTTTTGTGCACTGATGAGTCAGAACCAACTCACAGCTTACCCTTCAGCAGCTTTCTGAAGCAGAAAAGGCCCATCCTTTTACCACAGGGTATTTACTGGGTGGATTAAAATCATGTGCCTTTGGCTTCTGAGACTATTCTTCTTCATTACAATCTCTGACTCTACTGTCATCAAGATCCCACCTGGCTTTTCTAGAATTGGGGTCCCATGAGTTAATGGAGTCATCAATGCCAACTTTGTTCTTCATTACAGAACAGTTCATAGCCCAAACTGTCTTCATCATGCTCCAAGGTGTCCTGCTTCATCATCTCTTGTTTTACTGGGCATCTCTAAACCCAAGCGGTGTAAGGACTGCACAAAGAAGTGAGGAAGCTTGCAGACCAAGTTGAGGTCCTCCTTTCTGGACCCCGAGGCAGGCAGGATCAATTGCCGGGCATGCAGGTGAAGAGGGATATGTCGGGCTTTCGACTGTTTTAGCCCCAGCTTCTTTAGGATGCTAAGAGACAATTTCTGGGGGTCCAATCTATTCCGGTCTGAGTACTTGTGGTCACCAAGGACTGGACAATCTAAACCAAAAGACAGGTGAACTCGAAGCTGATGTTTTACTCCTGTAACAGGAAGGAGTTCCAATAGTGCAGAGGAGAAAGTACTGCTTAGCACCTGGTACTGAGTCAGAGCAACAAGTGCATTCTGAGTGCCACGCACTTTCACGATTTTCCCATTGTCCATGAGGTAGCGTGGGGCCAGGGTCATCTTGCAGTGGTGCTGCTGCCCTTGCACCTCCTTCTCCAGGATGGGAATGTCAACAACTCCTGCTGAATGCACAGGGACACGCACAGTGATAGCCCAATACTTCTTGGCCACCTGACGGGTTTGGAACAGCTCCTGGACTTGATGTGCTACTTCTTTCTCCCAAGCCAACACCATTAGACCCATAGTCTCCTTGTCCAGCCGGTGACACAGATGTAGGGGCTCTGCCTTCTGGCCATGCAGCATCTTTGCCAAGATGGGCAGTACATCACTGATACAGAGCTGAACATCAGGGCCACCATGCACAGGTACACTGTAGGACTTGTTGACAATCACCAGGTCCTCGTCCTGGTGGAGAATTCCTCGGCACAGGGCCTTAGCAAGCACGTTGGGATGGACTTGCTGCAGCTGTCGTGTGAACCACACCAGCTCGCTCACCCTCCGCTGAACAGGGTTTGTAGACACCTGAGATTTTCTTTTCAACTTATCACAGAGGACTGCCGGCACTTTCTGTTGATCCCCTTTCTGGGCACGAAGCCTCTCTGCTAATCGCTGTGCATCCAACGGCCTAGAAGTAATGATGGCGGAAGAAAAGAGCTTCAAGATGAGAGTGAGAATGGATCCCAGACGCTTGTATGAACTCTTGACGGGGAAGGCCGAAGAACAACCAATGGGGGCCACCATCTTGTCACGGCAGTTTTTTTTAATCACTTTTCTTTTTTTTAATGTGTGTTCCATCAAATCAGATCTGACTGCTACAGGAGGAGATTGTCCCTCCTTCTTTAGCAGAGCATCTGGTGGATTCGAACCTCACATCTCTGGGATTGCAGTGCAGCTTCTTGCCACTAGGCCACCAGAGCTCGCCTATAATTTTTATTTTAAAACTCATTCTTCTTGAACTTATTGTTTTGTAACCATCATTTAAATCCTCTTTTGAATTTAAATGGAAAGCATTGTTCCATATAAAATAGTCCACATTTTAAAACATGTGCTTAGTATTCTCAATAAATATTTGTTGCGAATTAAAAAAAAAAGGGGGCGGGCGGGGGGAGATACCATGGACTGCCAAGAGAACAAATAGGTCTTTTCTGGAGAAGGTAAAACCAAGTTGCTCATTGGAGGCAAGGAGTTTGAAGCTTCCTTTCATATACATTGGGCATATTGCCAGAAGTGACTAGTCCTTAGAGAAGGACATCATACTTGGAAGGGTGGAGGGACAATGCAGAGAGGAAAACCCTAGCTAGATGAAAGAGATTGACCAGTAACTGAGATTATAGGGGCAGGTGTGTCCAAGATGGTAAGATTGGCTCAGGTTAGGACAGAGTTCAGAGCTGTTGTACACAGCAGTGTATGAGTTATTGGGGACTCAACAGCATTTAGGAAGAAGAAAATGAAATTTTCAGTGGTTAAGAAGAAGGAAGAAAATTATTAAAGTTTTTTAATGCTATCTACTGATGCAGATCTCAACATTATAAATATTTAATGAGTCAATTTAAAATGAGTCTAGCAGTTAATAGTAAACATAATAAAATAATATCTAACATAATATTCAGTAAGTACTGTGTTGTTGTTATGTGCTGTAAAGTCGCTTGCGATTGATAGCGACCCTATGTACAACAGCCCTAAACCCTGCTCTATCCCTTGCCAATCTTATTGTCAACAACACGCCCATCACCATCACCCCAGTGACAGAATCAATCCATTTCATCAAGGGTTTTGTTCTCCTGTGCTGTCCCTCCACCAGTACTACAATATTATTATTAATTAATAATATGTATTTGTTTTCCCCATGAAGAAATCAATTCCTAGAGAGGTTAAATACTAGCCAAAGAGGAGGAAATGGAAGATTTCTATCAATTTTATAGTCAGAAATTGATCAACATGCAATCAAGATACCAGTGCATCTTGATTAACAATGGGTGACTGGAATGCAAAAGTTGGGGAAAGGAAAGAAGGATCAGTAGCTGGAAAACATGGACTCCAGTGAAGCTGGGGAAAGAATGATAGAATTCTGCACATTCAATGATTTATTCCTTGCAAATACTTTCTATAAGAAACACAAACGCAGGCTTTCACCTGATGGTATGCATAGAAACCAAATGTATTACATTTGTGGGAAGTTTTACATTACAGTATTACATTACTGGGGAAGATTAATATCAGCTGTGAAAACAAGGCCAGGTGCTGACTGTGGGACAGACCACCAACTACTCATATGCAAGTTCAAGCTGAAGTTAAAGAAAATGAAATCAAATCCATGGGAACAAAAATTTGACCTTATGTATAGGATTCAAATAGATTATATTTGTGGAAAGAATCGCTGAAGAAGATTAATATCAACTGTGAAACCAGGCCAGGTGCTGACTGTGGGACTGACCACCAATTACTCATTTGTAAGTTCAAGCTCAAGTTGAAGAAAATTAAATCAAATCCACGGAAACCAAAATTTGACCTTAAGTCTATCCCACTTGAATTTCAAAATCATCTCAGGAACAGGTGTGAGGCCTTGAGCTCCAATGAGCATAGACCAAATGAGCTGTGGGAGGATATAAAAAAATATCATCCACGAAGAATGCAAAAGATCTTTACAAAGGCTGAAGAGGAAGAAAAGACCAAGATGGATGTCAGATGACACTCTGAATACTGCATTAGAGCTCTGAGAACCCAAAGCTAAGGGAAAAAAATCAAGAAATTAAAGAGCTGAACATAAAATTTCAAAGGGCAGCTCAGGACAACAAAGCAAGATACTATAATGAAATGTGCAAAGAGCTGGAATCAGAAAATCAAAAGGACTGAACTTGCTCAGCATTTCTTAAGCTGAAGGATTTGAAAAACAAATTCAAGTCACAAGTGGCAATACTTAAGGATGCTTTGGGTAGAGTGTTAAATGTTCCAAGAAGCATTAAAAGAAGATGGAAGGAGTACACAGAGTCACTGTATCAGAAGGAATTGGCTGACACAGAAGATTTTCATGAAATAATGTATGAGCAAAAGCCTGTGGTGATAAAGGAGGAAGTTTAAGTTGCTCTGAAAGAATTGTCAAAAAAAAAAGGCTCCAGGAGTTGATGGCATGCCAATTGACATATTTCAACAAACAGATGCTGTCCTGGATAGGCTTACTAAGTTGTGCCAAGAAATCTGGAGGACAGCCACCTGGCCTACTTACTGGAAAAGATCATTTTGTGTTTTGTTTTTTTTTTCCATTCCAAAGAAAGGTGACCCAACAGAGTGTGGAAATTATCAAGCAATATCATTAATAACACATGCAAGCAAGATTCTGCTGAAAATAATAAAAAAAATAACTAAAACAATATGTCAAGAGAGAACTGCCAGATGTGCAGGCTGGATTTAGAAGAGGTTGTGGTCCTAGGGATATTATAGCTGATGTTAGATGAATCTTGGAAGAAAGCAGAGAGTACCAGAGAAATGTCTATCTGTGCTTCATTGACTATGCAAAGGCTTTTGACTGTGTGGATCACAAGCAGCTATGGCTGACTCTGAAAAGACTGGGAATTCCAGAACATTTGATTGTGCTTATGTGAAACCTATACTTGGAACAAGAGGCAGTCACTAGAAAAGAGCAAGAAGACACTGCATAGTTTAAAATTGGGAAGGGGGTCCGCCAGGGATGAATTCTGTTTCCATACCTTTTCAATCTGTATGCAGAACAGATCATTCAGGATGCTGGGCTGTACGAGGAGGAATGTGGCATCAAGATTGTTGGAAGATTCATCAATAACCTGTGTTATGCAGATGACACAAATGTACTTGCTGAAACTGAGGAGGACCTGAAGTGCTTGCTGCAGAAGGTCAAGGACTGCATCCTTCAGTATAGATTGAAGGTGAATGTCAATAAGACAGATTTTCTCACCACTGGACCAATTGGCAGCATCAGTATGGATGGTGAAGAGATTGAGATAGTTAACAGTTTTAGTTTGCTTGGCTCCACAGTCAACACTCTTGGTAACAGCAGCCAGGAAATCAAGAGATGAATTGCAAAGTCAGCTGTGAGGGACCTTTCAAGAGTACTGAAGAGCAACAACTTCAGGCTGGAGACTAAGGTGCGCCTAATCCAGGTCATAGTCTTTGCAATTGCGTGCTATGCATCAGAGAGCTGGATGGACAGTGACTAGGGATGATAGAAAGAGAACTGATGTCTTTGAGCTGCGGTGCTGGAAAAGAGTGTTGAATATACTGAGGACTGCTAGGAGAACAAACAAATTTGTCCTGGAGAGGTGAAGCCTGCTGCTCCTTGGAGTCAATGATTCTGAAGCTTCATCTGATATCCTTTGGGCATGTTGCAAGGAGGGACCAGTCCTTGGAGAGGGACAACATGTTTGGGAGAGTGGAGGGGCGGCTAAGGAGAGGAAGACCCTAGATTAAATGTAATGATTCAGTGATTGGAGTGGGGGAATAGGTGTGTCAGAGACAGTGAGGTTGGCACAAGATAGAGCGGGATTTAGGTCTCTTGTACACAGGGTCGCTATGAGTCACAAGCAACTCAACAGCACATAACAACAACAATAATGTTGTGAATGAAATTGTGTTCCCCCAAAATACATGTATGTAATGTTATAATGTGAAAACTATGTAATAATTCCCTACGGGCTTATAAACCATAGTTGTAAAATAGGTTTCAGGGTGGAATGCACTTCTTAATCCCATGACAGCCCTAATTGGATATAAGGGGAGTTCCTCTAGAGTGTGGTCTATTATACCTTTTATCTCTATAGAGATAAAAGGCAAGGAAAGGAAGCCAAGAGATGAGGCCTTGATACCATCAAGAATTTCTAGTAGTGGAGTACATTTTTTGGACTCCATTCCCTGTGTAAAGAAATTCATTGATAGATACCAGAGAATGTTAATACATGTGGAGATTGCCAGGGAACTCCAGGCCTACAGATGCTGAAGGAAACAAGGTCTTTCTTTTAGAGAAAACAGAGGGAGACTGACCTTCCTTTAGAGGAAGAAGCCTTGGCCCAAAGTATCTCATTGGTGATGGAAGATGGATCTTGGATGAAACCATATAATGCCAGAAAGATTTTTTTCCTTGTGTTTTATTGACCATGCAAAGGCATTTGACTCTGTGGGTCATAACAAATTGAGAAGAATGGAATCCATTCACACTTAATTGTGCTCACGTAAAACTATATGTAGACCTATAAACAGTTGTCCGAAATATCAAAAGGGAACACCACATGGTTTAAAATCAGGAAAGGTGTGTATTGGGGTTGTATCTTTTCTCCATCCCTGTTCAATCTGAATGCTGAACATATCATTCAAGAATCTGGACTATATGAAGAGGAATGTGACATCAGGATTGTAAGGAAGAGTCATCAATGTCCTGTGTTATATAAATGACACAAGTTTGCTTGAAAAATGTGAAGACTAGAAGAACAAAGACTCCAGCTTTGACTATGGATTACATCTGAACACAAAACAAAAATCCTCACTAGTGGACCAAAAGGCAACATCATAATAGAAAAAAGATTGAAGTAGTCAATAATTTAATTTTATTTGGTTACATGTAAACACCCATGGTCAAAAATCTTGTTGCATTCGGAGATCTGATATCAAGGGCCTCTCCAAAGTACTAAAGAACAAGGATGTTAGTTTAAAGACTAAAGTGCATCTATCCAAGTCATGGCCTTTGCAGTTACTTCCTTTGTGTCTGAAAGTTGGAT